ACTCTGAGTCAGTGAAACTATTCTCACTTCAAGGACTGAAACAAATAGCAGTGCTTGCTCAATCCTGAGCCCAGCCCCAAGAGAGAATCCATGCTCTCTCCTGGATAATGGAACGACTTACCCATGCTGAAAGGCAAGTAACACTGTTTTTTTTAATTCCCCTTCCCCAGTGTTTGGCCACAGGTTTGTTATCACTGACGCTGATGAATATGTGCTTAATTATATGGAGAGCAATGCAGGGAGTTTCCCTGAGGCAACACTGCAATCCCTGAGGGATCATTTTCACCCAAAGCAGGTGGTAAAGGAGCCTGACAACAGGTAAGCTTCAAAGGATGGTGTTGTGGAGCTAAATAAGACTTAGGGTTGACAGCTAACGGCATTTCCAGCAGACTGTACAGGCTCCAGCCTACTGTCTAATGGCTGCTTAGCTGATTATTCAGCTCCAAGAGCCTATGTCTGGACGCATACAGGGAGGGTCAAGTGTGTATGATATAATGTCATGGCTGCTGCTGACTCAAAACCCTTGTGGAACAGCTCTGGCTCAGCAGCAGAGATTTAGCTAAATGAGCAGAGTCTCTTTTTCCGAAAGGCAGTAGTTAACTGTAACAGATGCTGTTGACAGTATCTGCATGACTCACTAGATGCTTGTTAAGATCAGTGGAGAGTTGGTGAAGTCGTTTTCATTTGCTCTGGCTGTGCTTATCACCCCAGGAGAGCCTCTTTTTTAGCTGACTGGACCCATTTGCAGTGATGGGGTAACAACCCTTTTACCTCACAACACACTTTGGGGTCAATTAGTATCATGGTAGTTCAGGGACTCTGGTTGAAACTGGAATTGCATGTGATTCCTGGGACTGTATGAAGCACCACAAGAAAATGCTTGTGCTCCCAGAGCACTTGCAGACAAGAGGTGCATGGAGAAAATGTCCTGCAAAGGGAAAATTGTTTACTTAATGCTCCAGGATCAAGACTGAGTTTCATCTCCAAGTCCAGGCTGAAGTGAGCTTGCATTAAAAAACAAGCATCCCAGAAGCCTGCTGTGTATTCAGAAATACAGCCTGGCCAGGTGTGATGGGCAGCCAGCACACAAAAGTGTCACAGTAAGGTTGCCAGAAGTAGCTTTCACATGTCCTGTTCTTCCTTGCTTCTACAGTGACATCCCCAAGGTTGGGACCAGCAAGCAGGAACTGGATGAATTAATTGTGCATGTTCAGGAAGAGCTGAAACTCTATAAGCACTTGAACAACAAGAACATTCGGGAGGCGTTTCTTCTGTGTGACAAGGATGGCTCTGGTGTACTGGACAAAGCGAAATTTTTATCCCTTTGTGACAGCTTGACTGTGCCTACCAACACCACTCTTCTTAACAAGGTCAGAAGGAAGGGGTGCTGTGCATATTGAATTCCCCTCTTATAGCTCTTCCAAAAGTGCTGTTCTGCAAACCAGCCCTAGCCAGGTGAGCACCAGCTGCTCTACCCTACGGAGGGGAGCAGCTTCAAGAAAAGGGCTAGAGTACCAATTCAGAAAGGCCTCTGAGCTGTTGATTCAGCAAGGGTCTTAAAGAAGGAGATAATAATTGCTGTCCTCTAAGTAAAGGGAAGAAATGATATCCAGGTTGCCCCCAGAATGAGAAACCTGGCGTTTGTTGTGTGACGCCTGCTGGCTCAGGTCTCAGACATGAGCAGAAGAGGTTGTATATCATGATAGAGACCTGGCATAAGCTACAGCAGAGCTACTGAGTGTCTGTCATGACTTAAGCACACCTGGGATTGAGTAGGGGTGACACTGAGGTGCTTAGGTAATGAGCCTTAGGAAAGATTAGATGCATTCTAGATGTAATAGCAACTGAAGATTTGAGAACTACAATTTAAATCATAGCCACTCAGTTAACACAACTAAAACAGACTTGCTGGGCACTATGACCAATACACACATGGAGATCACAGTCTGCATAGCAGAAAATGTGAGGGAAACTGAAGACAAAAATTCATGTAGGAGGGATGGAGGATTCTTCCAGGAATATAACTGGCAAGGATGCTTTCTAAGCTTAATGGGATACGAGTAGATTAGTGGCCAATAAAGGCAGATTCAGAGTTTAAAGAAATCTGGAAACCAGAGAATTTCCCTTGCTAAAAACCCAAATAATAATAATTTTCTAAACCAGCCAAGCACGAGCATCACAGCTGTGGTTAGAAAGGTGCACAGGCATTTATGTTTCTGAATGGGCACTGAATGGAGGCCTTTGATGAGCACCCAGGGCTTTGCTGTGCTAGAGCTCATCAGAGACCACCCTGCCCTGAGGAATTTACAACGTGGTGACAGTCCTTTCTGCTTCCATTCTTGAGAGTGGGAGATGAAGTGACATGCATGTGGATGGAGGACCTGTGACAATTGTTTGGATCCCCATCTAGGATCTATACACAGAAAGCATCCCTCTTCTCTCTTGAAATCTTAGTAAGAGTGTGCCCAGAGCCCTCAGGAGCACGGTGGTGGTGTAAATTAAACATAGAGCAGATAGCTTACTGTCTGGATTGGAGAGGAGCACAGCTGTCAGTCACACAAGAGCAACCCTAGTAAATCTGTCTCCAGGCGACAAGGGGAAGAAGAATCCTTTCGAGAAACTGTGATATTAGACCTTTTCCATCTCCCTGAGTGTCAGAAGGAGATTAGTTATGCAATTAAAGAAACAAAAGCCCTCTTTCTTCCCCTTAAGCACACAAAGGCTGTACTGCTGTAACACAATGCAGGGTCAGGCATGGATAACAGAACTGGCTCAGTAGTAGGTCTGTTGCTGAGCTCAATTATCTGTGTCTCCACTTTATGACGTGCACACACCAAAGTGACACCAGTGAACAGTAACTGTTCAAATATGCTGCCCCCCCATCTCACTTTGGTAGGGATTTCTATGGGGTTTCTGAAAGATTCGCAGTGGCCTATGTCAGTTTGTGGCCACCCTTTATGGTGGTGGATCTACTGTCACTCTGATGATACTCAGAAAGCAATCAGGAATAAACTCAAACACATTAACTCTTCTCCTTGCATAGATTAGTGTCATTTATAAACATTCAAGGTTACCTGTGATTCAGGACTATCAAGGCCCTTCTACAGAGGAAAATAAGATCTGCTCTGTTGCACAAGCAGTACCTCTGGGCACTTTCCGCTAAAAAAAAGCAGATTTGCAGCTTCTTCCAACTCTTTATGGTGGTGTTATGTTGTTTGTTTTCTTTTCCCCCCAGCTGATTGACCAGTGTTCTTGTGGAGAAAACCAGATAAACTACCATAACTTCCTTAGAGCCTTCCCTTTGTGATCTCTGCCCAGAAGCTGAAGAGCAAGACCAGCAATAAAATTCTTACTGACTTGAAGACATTGTACTTCAAAAAGGATGCTCTAGTCTTCACCTTTACCTCACTCACTCTCCTTCCATCCTCACTAGAGCCAGCTAATTTTACCCTCACTTTGTTAACTTTTTTTCCTTCTTAATCTCTCCCTGCCCTTTTGGTCACCACCAAACTCAACCTCACAACTAGTGGACATTGAAATGAAACTCAGAGGAGAAAAAAACTTTGAAGAACCAAAGCCAGGTACTCCGGTTGAACTTTGTAATGCAGTACAGCAAGACTTGCTAGAGCTCTCTAAAGCCTGGAGTGATAACCACGCCAGATTTCTCTTACAGAGTCAAAAGGAGCCTTTCACCTTCAGCAGTGAAGACTGCCAGTTTAAATTGATATTTACATTGCAAGAAAATGTAACAGCCCTGCCATGGCCCATGATAAACTCGCACTTGCTGGTCTGAATGTGTTAATATATCTGCTTTAAATAGAAGTACCTCAATAGCTGGAATAGCTAAGGATTAAAAGTTGGAGGGTGTGGTGGAGAAAAAACCCACAAAGTGTGATTCTGGTTTTACTTGAAGTGGTGAGTTTAGCTCTCACACAGCTGTGGAGATAGCAGGGGTCTGTATACAAATCTGCTGATGGCAGCTTTGCATTTTTTGACAGAAGGTTGGGAGAATGATTTTAGCATTGAGATACTATCTAAACCCATTGTATGCAACCTGTCACCATACCTGACAGGTCCAATGAAAAGGGAAAACAAGCAGTTGGCATAGCAATAGAGTTATGACACTTGTGCTCCACTTGGAGTTACATTGCTCATCTTTCCATGAAGGTAAACGTGTCAGGGACCTTCTCACCCCAAATGACACCTGCCAAGTATTGCCACTGAGCACATGTGAAAGGCACCCATCATGCACACAGCAGAGAACAAAGCTCTGAAACAGCTTATTTAAATCAGCTGTTTTTACGGTGGATTCCCACTTCCCCTCAGGCAGCTGAGAGCCTTCACATGACAGCTCCCTCCTGTCACCCTTGTTCAGAAAGGTCACCACTCTTACCTCCTGGGCCTGTTCTGTGCTGCTGCTCACTCCAGCTGAGAATCACTACAGCTCTCTCTGGTCCACCTCAGATTTCAAAGCATGGCTTGGTGTTGCATGAAGTGCCTTCTAACCAGCAGCTGACAAAGGCTACTTTCTAAAGGCCACCCAAATAAGCTTTTCCAGTGGCCAAGAACTTACAGATGAAATTAGGAATGTAGAAAAGAAAGTCAGAAACTGCTTTCTGCTATGAAACTATAACTTAATACTCAGCCAAATCATGTAGTACACCCGGGAGCAACTGCAGAAAGTATACAGTTTAGCTGACCATAAAGTATGCACCTAAACCACATCAGATAAATCATATCCTACAAATGCCCTAATCCTCCACTCCCAATGATGAAGGCAGCCATGGAAAACTAACTCAGAAGCAGCTGCCCATGCTGTAGACATGGGGAATGCAAGCTGATGAAGCCCAGCTGTGGAGAATATAGGGACACAAGACACTGCACCAAAGAGAATAGACAAGTCTGGTACAGCAGGAGCGAGACAAAGTACAACTCCTTGCAGCCTGCTTTGCAGCATATATAGCTTGGCAGAGTAATAAAGCATCAGCAGACAGCAGCAATGGAAGAATCTATGCCTTTTATTTCTTTATTTCAGAAAAATACTTTTGTTGAGTTTATCACAAAAGTCATTTAACAACAAACATCAAACAACAAAATTCGTACAAAAAACTGAAGTGGCAGGAAGAATGAAACAAACGGGGTATCAGAGACTGTTACTTCCCCCCCAACCCCCTCCAAAATCAGGAAATTTGCACTAAAGCATAAATATGTAAGAACATCAGTTTTCCTCGAGTTTCTTTGCTGAATTTTGGTCCATTGAATTCAACATATTTGAAGAAAAACTACATGCCTTGGCCTAACTTTCACAACAGCCAGTCTTCCCCGCTGCCAGCAAAACCCCACACGCTGCCCCAGGGTGAAGTATCTTACTTCACTGTTTGAATATAAAACCTACTAAACAAGCCACCTATCACACACTCACAAAGTTTACCAGAAGGCTGTAAATCAAAGCCCATAATCTCCATCTACTGTCGACACAAGTGGGGCCCATCTACCAAGACTTCATCTAAGGCAAGAGGCTGAGGCTGCTGTAAACTCCATGCCCGCGGCAAAGGCAGGCTGGCTACAGGCTTCAAGAGTCACTTAGAGGAAAGGGGGAGGCATCCTAGAGTAGTTGTTCTTCCCTCCAAATAGAAAGCCTATCAAAACCACATTCTGAAATGGTGAGTTAAGGGTAAGGTGACCTACAGGGGAAGTGGAACTTGATGTCCTTATACTAACCCAAACATGATAAGTAAGAAGAAAGAATCCTAAACAAACAACAAAAATTAATGCAACTGTAATGCCCTATAACATGAGTCACTCAAAAATTACATGTGAAATGCTACATCTGCCCCCTTCTCTTCCCAAGCCCATTCCCCAACTATCTAAGACAAAAAGAACTACTGCTGGTATTTCACAACTCTTCTAGGCTAGAGCAGGAAATCATTATGCTTCACACCATAGATCACAAGACTACTCAATCCCTGACATTCCTAGGTTGGATATCAACACAGACTACAAAAGCAGCCTCAAGCCCTCAGGAAGGGTATGAGCAATAGCCTTACACTATACAGTTTTGTATAGTCCCTTAGCGCTCTCTGCGCTGTGGTGGACAAGAGCTCCTCTTTGGGAATGGATCTTTTTTGCAGAAGACATGGGGCTTGACAAGATGGGGCATGAGAAGAGCATCCACTCAAGGAAAGTGAGCTCACGGCATCTTTGTATGCAGAGTGGTCAAGGGAAGACTGACCACCAAGGGCTTGCAGTGAAAATGCTCTGAGAAAGAAAAATCTCTTTGGGCTGAAGAGGAGGCTCGGTCTGCTGAGAAACAACATGGACACAGAAGCAATTACTGCAAGCTTGCAGCTGAGAGATGGTGCTTGCACTAGAACACAAAGACAGAAGCAGCCCATGGCAGCCCCCCTCCAGCGGAGGGTAGACTGCAAACCGCTGGGATGACAGCATATATTCCCTTACACCAAAGGGTCAGCACAAAAAAAACATAACCAAACCTGCCATATTTGGGTATAACACGAGAAGGATGGGGATTTCCAAGGACTAAATATAGGGGAGGGCAAAAAAGCCCCATCATCTGTAGGTTTAAAAATAATAAAAATAGAACATATGGAAATGCTTCCAAAACAAACTGTCCCTTTTACTGGTAGCTCTATCAAAAAGAAAACAAAACTCATGTAAATGTAGCATACATTGTACATACGTTGTAAAGAGGAAGGGCATTCAGCTACTGATCTACTACACAGATCAAGCCTACGAAAGACTACATGGCGACATAAGGCACTTGGGATACGAAGCGTAATTAGCTACTGTATGAAGACACAGGACTGTGCAAGTGTAAAAGCTGCCTGGAGCAAAGCAGGCAGGAGGAGGAATCATTCAGCAGCCAGTTTTTGGGGGACTGTATGTGTTACCTGTTAACAGAGTCAATATCTCAGCTGTGGCAAGGCACTGGCTTTGCAAAAAGGACTGGCTGAGGCTCTGGAGAGATGCTGAGCAGCAGTCACTCTCAGAGGGCATGTGCCAGTGGATGGCCAGGGATGGGAAGAGGCAGCAGAAAGAAAAATCCTCTCACATCTGATATCTTTGATGTCCTCCCTAACATAAAGCTCTTTTCCTCCTCTGATCACATTGCACTGTCCGTACTATCTCTGCCTCTGAACAGAAATGTGTATTATTGAGCCAACAAGGGCTACGAGGAGCAATTGCAAGATATCACCAAGGGCTCTGCTCTGAAGTCTCCTTCCTCAGCTCCCCTGAAAAAGGGGAGATCCCCCTCATGCCGACACCTCTCTTTTGACATCAAGGATCATAGGGATGGAGGAAGTGTTAGAATTTGACCAACTGTCCTCATGTCCCTGCACATTTTCTCCCTCCAGTGCCCAACATAAAGTGGGGCTCAAGAACGAGAGGAGGAGCAAGGAACAAAAGAAACCTACCATAAGAGCTAAAAAAGAAATCTGACTCAGCAAAAAGAGGGGCAGAAAATCAACTGTCACACATTCCTCAAAACACAAATGATGTGAAGGACAACTGTGCCAGCCTCAAGCTAGCATTGCACTCAGAGACAGCCAGAATTCAGCCACCCGAAGGGCCAAGCGAGGAGCACGCTAAGGATCACATACCTCCCTCACCCGCAAGAAAGGTAGACCTCAGCTGCTCCCTGCAACTCACTGCCCTCTTCTTGCCCAGCCAAAGGAGCACATTGCTTGCCTGTTCCTGCCATGGCGAAGCAAAACTAAAGCTACAGCTGGCTTCACTGCACAAGAGGCACCAACAGCAAAGCCCAGCTACACAAACTGCCCCAGAGGAGGGCCGTGGGATGAGAGGTGCCTGTCTGCTGCACGCCTGCCAAATCTAGACTGGTGCATGGCACACCAAAGAAGTTCAGTGAGATGGCACTGACCCCCAAAACCCCAGTCAGGAGATGCTGTTTCCCAGCAAAGAGGCAGCAGAGGACTGAGCCAGTGGGATCTGGGGTTCCCGTGAAGTCTCCTGCCAGCATGTAGAGGTGCAGCAGCAGGCAGGAACAAGAGGGAAAAGTGGTCTGCAGCAACAGATGGCCTCTGAGGTAGATCTGAGACAACTCCATCTGCCAACAGCTGTGCATCACAAGTCAGGCTTTTCCTAATATGCAAGCTGCTCCTTGCAGCCCCAGCTTCCTTCCCCTTCCCTGTCATCTCGTTCACAGCTCAGAAATGGATGAAGGGGCTAGGTTTTTTTGGAAGAAACCCTTCATTTGGTAGCACCTTTGGGTGGATACAAGCTCTGTATCCTTTGGAAACAAAGAGTGAAGCTGGTGGCTGCTGATGGCATGGCTGGACTGGTACGGTAGGGATGAAGAAGGCTAAGGTGACAGCATGAGAGGCAGAGTCCCACTGATGCAAAAACCCTTTGCAGAAGCCAGTCTGTCATCTGGACATGGTCATGAGCCATGAGAACACCAGTTCCACAAGGCACACACAAGCTGGCAAAAGGCCTCAGCTGACAGGAGCCAGACCCAGCACTCAGAGTGGGGCAGGACTCAAGGCTTCACGTGGACCTGAGGATGCTGCTGCCCCATGAAAAAGCACTCTACAAATTGCAGAGCCCCAAGCCCAGGTCTCGGGGCTGGGAGGTCCAGAACAACAGGGCAGTTCACCTCCTACAGCAAAGAGGGTAAGAGAAACCCAGCTCTACCAGAAGAGCTGGGGCAAGCAAAGGCTGGGAGGTGGGCCTCCTATTTGAAAAGGGAAATTCCTTCCCTTCTCTGCTGCCCAGCTCTCCAAAATTAGCTCAAAACCAGGGTCAGAAAACCCCACTTAGCCAGAGGTCCACCATAAGACAAGACATGGTTAAGGTTCCTCCCTCAGACCCTGGTCTCTATTTGCAGCATGAACATCCTGTGGCACTTGCCAAGTGCTGGCCAGACATGCCCCAGGAGACACAACCCTCACCTGAGAGGGGCCCTGATCCTCAGGGTCACAGAGCCCCAGCACATTCCCCCAGGAGCCTGTTTCCATAACAGACACGTGGTGCCTTCAAGCTGTTGTGGCCCTGTCCCAGGGACTCAGGAAAGCACCATGAAGAGAGGGGAGGAATATGCTGTAGAGGAAAAAAGGATTGTTTGGAACCATCGACAATGCATCTGTAACAATAATCCAAAATAACCAAACACTAACATAGAAAAGGAATACAATTGCACGCTGATTTACGATGAAACAGAGAAAGGGAAAACCAGGAGGACTGGAAAAGGTTCCTATGAGGGGAATGGAGCAAGGGAAATGGACCTTTTTGGTTTTATTGCAAATGGTTCAAGAGAGCAAGAAAGGAAGGGAGGAGAGTGAGAGACACCTTGGAAGATGACTGGTTTCCAAGCCATTCTAGACAACGCTTGTGAGGATGGGGAGGAGGTGCTGCTGCTTAGTCCCAGTATCTCGCCCTCCTCCCCAGGAGACAAGCCCTTGCTTCTAAGGAAACTTCACCTTCCTGGTTCGTGGTGAGATGCCGTTCTCCACTTTCACCACTCCATTTTCATAGTAACCTGGGGATAAAGAGAGAAAACTCTGTCCCTTGCACAGGTCAAAACTTCAACACTCTTGGGGCTGGCCCATAGACAAGGGGAAAGGCCCCACCATGGCACAACACTGCTGGGGACACCCTGGACTCTGCACAGAGCAGGAGGCACTGGTGCAGCACTGCCTGCATGAGGGGGCAGTGAACCACAGGACTGATGCCTCCCATGAAGCCAGTCCATGGTACACAAGTCCCAGCACTCACCCCAGTCCCTCCTGAATGGCCTGGTTTGCCTATTGGTGCCAGTGGCTCGCTTCCGACTGCTCTGCTCATTCCAGTACACCCTCCAGCGCCGCAGCTGGAAGTGGATGAAGCGCCACATCACCGAGGCCTGGAAGAGGCACACCAACAGCAGCACACTCATTCTGGTAGGGGTGGAGAAGAGGCAGGCTGAGAAGAGAGGAGCGAGGCCACCACCAGCACCATGCTAGTGGCTGACGTTCCCCTGGATGGCTGCATGAAGCACCAGAGGCAGGTACCATCCCTTGAGCTCAGGGCAGCCACTTCTCTTTCCCTCCCCACCATAAAGCTCTCAGGTACTCAGGGCACTGCTCACGGTTAAGACTTTAGGGCAGGAACGGATAAATACGATCACCTCAACCAGCACTGCCCAAAACACTGCATGGTCAAAGACGTCCCCACTTGCTCTGTACAAGTAAAAGGTGAATGTGGTTAGGAGCTAAGAAAGTCCCCAAATCCTCAGGTGCACCAGCAATCTGTGGTTTCAAAAACCTTAGGAATGACCACGCACCTGTCCTGGCAACTTCTGAACCAAACCTACAGCTGCTGCATGGGTGAGAAAGCCTCCTAGTCTTAACAGACAAGCAACAGAATGCAAGCCATGAGGAAGCCATCCTATCTTCTTCTTCCACATCAACAGACAGCAAAGGGAAAACACCTTTTGTTAACCACATCCATGTAAGCAAAGTTACTGGTGCAGAAGGGAAAGCCTGCACAACTTTTTGTGACACAGGCTTGTGCTTTATTACTTCACTCAATGAGCAACTTATCTGCTAGCTTTTTCCCTCCGTTGTGGCTCTGTAGCCTTTAAACCCCTCCTTGCTCTCTCCATGCCCTACCAGCTTGCTAGGACCTTCCCTAAACGGAACTGAGATCAGATCCCTATTGGCATGTCCAAACTCAGCAAAACCACCTTGGGATAACAACAATCACGAAGATACAGTAGGGGACATTCCTACCTGAAAAGGATATTGTTGAAGAGAAAGCTGAATAAATTCCCTCTCTCGGGGTCGAGGGCCTGGTTCTCCACTCGTGGCAGCCCAAAGCCAATGACCAGGATGTACAAGGTGAGGGTGAAGAGCTTGGTGACCACAAAAACAACAGCCCAGTAGTTAAACCTGCAGGAGGACAAGCAGAGGTGTTGGCAGGAGCAGCCTCCAGCACTGAGCTGGAGGTGACAGTGAGGTTCCTGTCACACCAATGGCTCTCCTGGGCACCAGAGGATGGAAGCCATGGCCAGCTCTCCTGCTTACACCTTCTCGTTGCTCTCATCCGTGAAGTAGATCAGCCGGGACACATGGAGGAACAATTCGGCTAAATACTGCAACAGCAAGAGGATCAGCCCCAGGCGGGTTAAGCTAGGAGGGAAGAGAAAAAGACCATCACCGGGCTGGTCAACCTCAGTCCTTCATATCAAGCTATACCATTTCCCCTGCCAACCCTGAGCTGCTGTGCCAGCCCAAAGCCAGACCCTTCTGCAGCAGTGGGGGTAGGAGTGCAAAGGGGAAATCCTTGTCTCCAAAACATCAAAGGAGCCCAAATCAGCAGCAGAGCTGAAATGGGTCCAACATGAAACCCTGACTATTGGCAATGCTGCTCTGCACACATGCTCAGAGGATGGGTAAGAGCTCACTGCCCGTGCCATGCTGGGAGAGCACCCCAGGGTGCTTCCCACACACAGGGGAGATGCACCCATCAGCCTGTGTTTTGGGTCCCTGATTAACATTTGATTTGCAACACACATAGACTGCCTGTGCACTCACAGACCATCACTGAACTCTCTCAAATTCAGCTCTGTGGGGCTTTAAAACTAACGGTGAGGAGGGCCATTTCAATACCATCTGCTTTTTAAACACTCACCTTAGAATCATAGAATGGTTAGGGTTGGAAAGGACCTGAAGATCATTTAGTTCTAACCCCCATGCCATGGGCAGACACATTCACTCCCTTTAAGCCCCCCCCACCACACTGTGGCTTCCTGGGTACAAAAAGACCTTGGTAAGCTCCATCCACAGCAAGGGGCAGGATGCTGAAGCAGTGAACTCACTTGAAGAGGTATGCGCCAGCGATGTGCACCAGGTAGAGTGTGATGCACCGCAGCTGGCGGGGGATCTCCTCCTGTCAGGGCAGAAAGCCAAGTTAGCCTCTCCTCTGTTTCACCAGCCCTCTCCCAAAGCTCACTCTCCCCAAATGCAGTGGGCAAACCACCTCAAGCATCCGTGCCTGGCTCTCACCTTGCGGACTTTTTGGAAGTAGAGTTCCGGCAGGGCATGCAGCCAATACGCCAGCTGACACAAGTAGAAAAACTTCACCTGGAACCTGAAATGCAGGGACAAGCTGCATGAGCCAGTCTGGGACATGGCAGGATCCCAAGGACCCGGGTGCCAGGGGAGACACTGGACAACCCCTCCACCACTTTGAAGCCATGGGATTTAGGAATCATTTCCAGGTTGACAATTCATGCTGAGCCAAGCTAGCCATGCCTGGAGTTTATCCAGATGCTTGTGCTGTGGTCTCCATGCTCTCAGCAAACCCCACTTTTGCAGAAACAAAAGAGATGATTATCCCCCACTTCAATTCTACCATGAAAAATGAACAGCAAAGAGACTGGACCAAGGTGATGCAGCCAGGAAGCAGCTGGGATAAATAACCAAGTCCACAGCACCTTCCTCATGGAGGAAACCTTCTAGGAACACACTCCCCAGGGCCACAGACAAGATATTCCCCATCTCTCTTCCGGGATCCCACTGCAGCATCCTTGCAGCAGGGTGCGTGCAAAAGGCACTGTGCTGTCAGCATCCCGCTCCCAGCCATGGGGAAAACCATACAGAGGAAGGAAGTGGTCAGCCTGAGAACAAAATGCCCTTGCAAGTGCTTACGGAAGATAAACATGCGGGTAGTTTTCCCACAAGCTCCGGGGGTTTGATATGTATCCTTCCTGAAAAAGAGAAAGATGCAAGCCTTCAGCAGGAGAAGCAGGCAGTGCATGGTTACAACAGGGAGGGCTCCTGCTACAGCAAAACTAGGAACTAGGGATGACACACAGGTCATTTCAGCCTGCAGTAAAAGTCATGTCCCCTGTAAAGGCCAAGGCTGAGCTCTCCAAACCTCAGCAACATTCACAGAACCACAGAATGGTTTGGTTTGGAAGGGACATTAAAGCTCATCCAGTTCCAACCCCCTGCCACAGGCAAGGACATCTTCCACTAGACCAGGTTGCTCCAAGCCCCATCCAACCTGGCCTTGAACACGGCCAGGGATGGGGCAGCCACAGTTTCTCTGGGCAACCTGTGCCAGGGCCTCACCACCCTCACAGGGAACTTCCTCATATCTGATCTAAATCTATGCTCTTTCAGTTCAAAGCCATTCCCCCTTGTCCTATCCCTACAGACACTTGTATATAGGCCCTCTCCAGATTTCTTGTAGGCCCCTTTTAGGTACTGGAAGGCTGCTATCAGGTCTCCCTGGAGCCTTCTTGAACATTCATGGGTACCAAGTTCAGGATAGGATGTTTTGGAGCAAAAGAGATGCTCTGGAGCTGTGGGGGTAGATGCCTGTAGCATGGCTCCAAGCAACAGCATGCATGGTCCAGGGGAGCTTCTTCCCCAGTGGTATTTCCAACCTGAGTATCATTTAAGCAAAAAGAAGTACTTCTGCAGAGAAAGGGGAACAGAAAACACCTCCAAAAAAATCAGTATGCATTGCATAGTTTTATTTTCCACCTGCCAGCATTTGCCTACAGTCTCTTGCCTTATGCTTGCAGGACAGATTACAGGATGGGGCTCCCTTTTTGTTCCATGCTTGCACAGCTCCTGCCACAGGGTTGCTGCACTGGCCCTTGCAAAGAGATGCTGGCATGGGATATCCATCCTGCCCAGCACCTATCTGTCACCATCATCCCTGCCCTATCTGCCCTAAGCACTTTATTCAGTTGAGGGCAGGGGAAGTGCCAGGTGTTGCAAAGGGTGACCTGCTCTGCACACACAGAGCATTTGGGGAGCACATCATGGCAATGAGGGTTTGCACAGGAGGCTACAGCCCCACAGCTGGTGAGAGATGGGTCTGGCACTGGGTGAAGGCAGCCCAAAACCAGCAGCATTGACTTCCCACAGCCCTGTGGGGCAGACACAGTGCCAGCAGACCCTCAAAAATGCTGGCCTGGAAGGGAGCAGCTGTCCCCTAAAGGCATCTGGCAGGACACCCTGAGCAGTGGGAAGGGGACCTGCTGCCAAGTATCCATCCCCAGCACTGCCAGGGACCACATCTCCCCATTAGCCCCACAACCCTGCAAAAGGCATCCAAAAACCCCAAGGTGCTGAACACAAATAAAGAGGAAAGTAAGAGGCTTGAAAGCTGAGCTTACTGAAATGTCCCCATCTTGGCCCAGGGGCTGACTGGGGACTCTCTGCTGCCATTTGTGCTCCAGAACCCACATATCCCACCCTGGGAGCCCAAAGGCCAGTCAGATCTGTGCCTTACCGTCACCACAACATACAAGCACCAGATCACAGAGGTGAGGTGGAAGGCAACCATCTGTCCTGATTCATTGAACTTGCTGTGTTTAATCTTGGAGAGATGGAGACGCCTGTTGATTTTCTGGGAAAAAGCAGAGGCAGAGAAAAGGAACAAGAGAACATGAGCCACCAGATCAACAGCCCTCTGTCCTCTTCCTCCTCCTCCCCGTGCCAAGCGGCCCCTAGAGATGAAGTCTCACCCATCATCTCAACCGCCAGACCACCCCCAAAACAGCATTTAACTGCAGCAGGACCACATCCCCCCCTCCCCCATGTTACTTGAGCTATTTTGGTGACATGAGGCATCAAATGGCACTCACGTCCAGGATGTACTCCTGCACCACTGCATGCAGGATGATGGCAATGAAGAAGTAGAAGAGGATGGTAACCGCATCCTTCAACCCATAGTGATACTGGATGAGTTCTCCATCTGCAAAGAGACCAAAATGTGGGTCAAATCCCCATGACCCACGTGATTTCCAGGTAGGAGCTTAAGGGTTAGTATGGGGAAGCTATTGCCAACATAAAGTTTATGTGGGGTCACGTGAAAGGTGGAAGCGTAGAGAGGTCATGACTGTGCCAGTGGATGCAGGGATGGAAAAAAGGACTCTAGCCGAGGTTAGTGTATTGGTAGAGGGTGGATGGTTTCCCCTCTAACAGCTAAACACCTCAAAGGAGGAGACACCCAGAACACTTCAAGCTTCTCCTGCCAGAGATGAGGGGCTGTGGAGATAGGAATTCATCAGCCTGGAGAGATGAAGACATGGAGGTGGCGCTGAGGAAGGTGACGAGGCAGAGACACCCCACTGGGAGCATGAGGGCCCGGGATGGGATTTCTACCCCTTCGGTTATCATCCAACACCCAGTCTCTCTTACTCACTCCTGAAAGCTGACGGAGCAGGACTCAGCTACCGACATGGTATTAAGAGCTCTGAGACAGTGGCATGGGGCTGGCAGATCAGAAATAGGACCCACAAGAGGGCCTGCTCTTCTGGGCCAACAGGAGACTCAACAACACCCAAAGTACCCGAGGCATCTGCATTTAGGCAACTATTCACAGCCCTGCAGCATATGGGGAAGAATCAGAGCCAGGAAAGCTGCTGTCCTCATGGCATGGTGCAGAAAGCATCACGTTGTGAAGCTCAGCCCAACCTGGGCTGCTGCCCTGCCCATTCTCCTGCCCGTCACATCAGTGGTGGGAAGCCACTTCTCTGTCTTGGCCTGTTTACCCTCAAACAAAGTTTCAATCTGGATTTCTAAGATCTGAGGTACATGAATGAGATTTGAACAGGATTTATGTAAATACCTGGTGTAAGGATAGGAAAACACCCTGTCCATAGGAGCCCCACAGCTGGGTGCTGTGCAAACCCAGAGGTAAACATGTTGCCTGTATCACAGAGCTCATAATCCCAGTGCAAGACAAAAGACAGAACTGCAAGTCTAAAGAAAGATGTGTAACAGCCCTGCCTCCTCTTTCCAGGGCATTTCAGCAGCTGCTCTAGCAGGAGCTGTATGTGCACTGAGCAGGGGAGACAACAGCAAGACCTGCTGGCTGCCGGGCACCAGCATCCTTGTTGTGAAGGATGTGAAGCAGCCTTAGAAAAGATCAGGTGTGCCGTAACCTTCCTCTGTGCAAGCTTGCTGCACCAAGGTCTCTCTCCCTACAGCCTCAGCTAGCTCATGCCTGATATTTACTGATACCTCAATACTGGTTCTGGTGAGCTGGTTATATGCCCCCTCTTGATTTACGGTATCAGGAAAGAATAAATCACTTAATAGAACAGCAGCGGAAGTTGTCTGGACCGTGCCACAGGGCAGCACAGACCACAATTTAATCTGGAAGCTGGATGATTTCTTCAACCATAACGTTCACAGACTTTAAGGGCAGACCTTTTATCTTCTGCTTGTCTGCCTGCACTAATCCCAACAGCCCCGCTCCTAATCCTGGATGATTACTCAAACACTCCTAATTAACTGCAGCTTTCTGTCACCAAGTCAGGCTGTGAGCCCCGGGCTTTACCCAAACCACCTCCTGCTGCTCCACACCAGTGCCCCAATCGCTGCCAGTCCCGGAAGGGCTCCTGGCTAGGCAGGTGGCTACTAGCAGCCAAAGCATAAACAGGGACCAAGCCTCCCGCTGACTGCTGGCTGGGAGCTGTGGCAGATCCTACAGTCCACTGGGCTCAGACCTGCACAAGCTTGGAGCATCCTTCAATTACTCCCCATGTGCATCAGGACCATAAGCTGCTTGCAGAGGGGATGCTGTGCACATGCTCATCACACTCTCACCTTGTGCAATCCCAACAAATAACAGCATTATCTGCACACCCCTAAGAGCTAAATCCCTCCTGTTCCTCGGCATGGCACAGAGCTACTCTGGGTGTACAACCAGGCTTGGAGGAGGATCCTCATCCTCTAAAGTGCATGGAATGGCCTGACCATGGCAAAAACAGGGTAGAGAGGAAGCCTTAAACCCCCTGGAAAGTATTTCTTCCCAACCCTGGCAGCACAAGTGCTGGCACACACAATCAGTGTGCTCTGAGCCATACAAACTTTTCTTTTTCTTCACATACCTTTACTACCAGACAAGGGCCCAAACCATGTGCATCAGTAGAGAGTGAGCCCAGGCCAGCCAGCCACAAGAGTTTGGGGCAGACCACAACTTGACCTCCCCTTTGGGGCATCTGCAGCATAAGCATCTCTTACCTGCTGTAGGCACGCTAACATTGTACTGAGGTAAGATAAACAGGAAGGCAGTCTTGGCTGTCACCTGTCAAAGACACACAGAAGAGGAAAACAAATCAGTTGGTGAATCAATTCCTCTACCAGCATTTAACTCCCCTTTCCAACCATGCTGGGAAAGGCAAATTATCCAGGGAGATGTGCAGGCACTGGCTTCACTCACAGAAGTGCCTTTCAGTGAGAAGAGTGCTAGAGAAGAGGTTTGTTTTACAGGGACTTGGGAAGAAGATGGGTATGTATAAAAGAGAGGAAAACCTGGAAAAGCCACCAGCCAGCCTGACAGAGGAAGCTCCCTGCATGCCCTCCAGGATGGACCATCATCCCATGTGACCTGTTGCTTGGAGGACACCAGGAGCCCAAACCAGCAGGCCATTTGTGTTAATTAAACTCATTCTCATCCACTCCAGACAGCCACACTGGGAGCCTGGCACATGTAGAAATGGCAGTACCCAAGCACGCTCATGGCAATCCATGGATTTAGCCCCCCATCTTTGTAGAGACTCCTCTAATAATAGCAGCCACGGGACCAGTGAGGCTGGAACCCTTCAGAGACTGTGCAGGTGCCCACAAGGGTCCCATGGGGCAGGGGAAAAGCAGTTTTGGCAAAGAGCTGAACCTTGTGCTGGCCACACATAGGAACCCAGCTGCACATCCAGCATCACAGGCTGGCCCTCAGAGAGGAGAAAAAGCCTGAAATGAGACAGCTCCTTGCAAAGCAGGGCTGTGCTGCTCACTCTTCATTATTGCTTTTAAGTCAAGGAAATGATCCTCCCTAGCAGTGAAGCAGGAGGATTTGTGGGAATGGGGCAGAACACCCCATCCCAGTGCATCTGCAGGATGCCTCCAAGCAGCATCTCCAAGACCAAAGGACCTTTGAGCCAGGGCCAGTGCAAAATCTGGTGCAGACATCCAACAGCTCTTCATCAGCAACTGTAGTGATAGGACAAGGGGTAATGGTTTTAAACTTAAACAGGGAAGTTCAGGATAGATATAAGGAAGAAGTTCTTTACTGTGAGGGTGGTGAGGCACTGGAACAGGTTGCCCAAAGAAGTGGTAAATGCGCCATCCCCAGCAGCGCGCAAGGCTAAGCTGGATGAGCCTTGGGTGACACGGTCTAACGTGAGGCATCCCTGCCCATGGCAGGGGCTTGGAACTGGATGATCTTAAGTTCCTTTCCAACCCAAACCATTCTATGATTCTAACACCAAACATGCCTTCATCCCATCCAACCCACCACCAGCAGCAGATCACCAGAGATTTCTATCTCTCCAGTGGCTCCTCAGCCATCCGTCTGATGCTTCACAAGCACCCCGCCTCATACACAACCAGCCCAGAAAAGACCTGTGCCTGTTGATAGAGATGAGCTGCATCTCACTCAGACTGTTTCAGAGCTGCAGGCTATTAAAAACCCTGCTGGAAATACTGCTTCATGTCTTACAGGACATAGCTGTGGGGGGGAAACACAGGGGCTTTGCCAAGCGTTCCCATCGTGAGCATGGAGCAACCAGCCGGTGGCTCTGCTCTGCTGGCACAGGCTGCCCATCTCCCTGCAGCCCCAGCTGGGGCACAGCAAACTCCATGGATGTTTTCATGATGTTTTGGGATTATTATTATTATTTTCCACTTAAGAAAAGATATCGCACATGTTGTGCTTTGCTTGTGGAGGAGGAGATGTAAGAAGTGCTCTGCAGAAGGAGATGGAGACCATGGGCAGAGCTTGGGGTGGTAATGGAAAAAGCGCATCACCTGGCCTCAAGCTGGCTTACAGAGACAATTCTGGCTCTTGCAAACATCACTGGCTGGGAAAATGAAGTTGCTTCATCCCGGAGAGATACAGCACAACCAGGACCTGGACTTTACATCCACACCTCATCACAAGCTGGCACAGGGAAGGAAACAAGCACATGAAGCCAGCTGTGGCCATGATGCTGCAGGGATGGGCAGCTGTATCGTGGATTTGATGACAGCAGCAAACAGTGACGGTTTTACATCTATCTGAGTTCCCCTGGCGGACATCCAGAGGGGTAAAAAGCTGGAAATAAGACATCATATCCAGATGAAGCCTCCTAACCTGCTGGAGGGGCCATAAACCAGACCTGTGGTCTGAGAAATGACCCAGACCATCTCATTGTGGGGAGCAATGCCCGCACGGTGCCCAGCCCCAACACAGTTTGCAATGACCCTCCTTATCGTCTTTTCTAGAAGGCCTGGTAGGAAAGTTTCCTCCATCCACTCAAGGATCAAGCAATACCTTTTCCCATCTCCACACCAGCCCTTGCTTCCCCTGGGCCAGAAGACCACCAGCAGCTTCAGGGGCAACCTCTGCATCCCTTCACCTTTCCTTACAGAGAGGCATTGAGTTGTTTTCTAAGGCCCATATAAAATGTTTTACAGCCCAAGATAAATGAAACCTCCTGAAGGCTGATTTCCAAAGACAAACTGCTTCTCTTCTCCAGCTGATTGATGGGGAAACCAAGGCACACACCTACAGCCACCCACTAAGAGCCCTCACAGAGGCCAAATTCAAGCCTCCAGGTAGCCAACCTCCCCATCTACATTAGTACACCTCACAAAACTTATGTGGAGGGAAGGCCTTCTCTCAGGCTTCCCTTTCTCCTGCCATTGGCTGGGAAGCGTTCACACTGACCATGGAAACATCTGAATATGCGCAGAGTTTCACCCTTCATCCTGTGCATGCTCCCCTGTGGGCAACAGCAGGACCTTAACAGCCAAGGCACCATTTTCAAAGGTGAGTCCTTGGGCTTTCCAAGGGCTCCAAAGACTGGTTGCAGCTTATTTTGTGAGCATTCCCACCTCAAAGCTTTCCTCGCCGCAGTTATACAGAATGATGTATTTATCATCCATCTCAGCTCTGTCCTCTGAGACTCACCACCCACCAGGATACCACTGTCCCCATTATGCCCTTGGCTGGGCCACCTCCGCCTTCCCACCGTCACCACAAAGACGTGTCCTCTGTTTGGACACACAAAGAGTCACAGTTTCTAGAGGCAGGTAGAGATGAAATGCGTAGGACGAACCACCTTGAGCAGGACATCCTTCCATCCTTGAAGGTGAAAGATATGCTGCATGTCCATGGTGGGACTTGTGTCTTTCTGCCATTGCCCACAGCACACCCCACCCAGTGGCCATGGAGGGATGGGTGACTTGAACAAGGTCACAGCTGAGTTCCCCTGAAGGGAACATCAGTTCCACGCTGTAGCTGAAGCACCCACAGCATCGCCTCCACATCAGCTGGGAGCACCCACTGTGCGTCCAGCACTATGCAGTGCACAGAGACAGAAACATCACTTTATGAAGCTTACACCTCCTGGAAAACAGCAAAACTTGAACCTCCAGCAATGCCATCTCAAGCTCTCCTGCAAGGCACTAACCAGGTTTCCTTGGCTCAGGAAGCAGCGATGAGCACCACAGATGGCAAAGCTTTAATGTTCACACTGAGCACTCTGCAGGCAGCCAGAGAAAGCAGAAGTTTGTACAGGGAACAGAAATGTGCCTCTGAATAATCCTCACAAGATGCTCGCTGTTTGTGTGCTCTGAAACAAGATGCTGGTATGGGAAAGAAAGCAACTGGCATGCTCCTGCCTTGCAGGGCAGCAGCAGAGCCAGAGCTCCCACAGAACTGCTGGAGGCAGGGGCAGAATTGGGCCTCTCCAGGTATTAATGTATTTTTTTGGTTATGCTGTGAGGCCACCTCCTGAACCTGCTTCTTTGGTTTTCCCTTCATACCTCCAGCCTTTTCTAAAGGCAGCCAGAAGTCCAGATCCTACAGAGCATCACCGTATTTCAGGTAAGGATTTTTACAGGATGGGAGAGGGATTTGTCTGCATGGGATGAGCTGAGCAGTGACCATATAGGAAAGACTGTATACTCCTTATATGCTCCCTACCCTGCATTCAGGCCACCTCTACACAACCCACTACTGCCCAAGAGGGTGAGGGAGATGCTCCTCATCCCAACCTCATCCTGCCTTGCATGAGGAGTATGCCTGAACCAGCTAAATTTGGGACGAGGCTGTCCTGGGGGCTCTCTACAGCAACACAGAGGAAACAGCATCTTCATAAGCAAGTGCTTAATGACACTAACCTGAGCACTAAAGGGCAGCCAGGCAGTGAAGAGGCACAACTCAACATGCCCATCAAGACCACAATTTCCTGTGATGCTCAGAGTAGCCACTGACAGGGCTGAGGCTGTTTCTCACTGAGCAGCACAGCTGGAATCAAACGAGTGCATCCACCTCATAGCTCTTGATGGCAGGGTGATGGATAAAGCCAAACAATCCCAGCACTACTACATATTTACTACGCATCTGCTACCCACCACTGTGCATCTACTCCTTGATAACGCAGCAACTAGAAATATTCACACCCCTGCTAGCCTGGAGTTTGCTGCCTCTCATACAAAGGAGAAAAGCAGGGACACCTTCCACTAGACCAGGTTGCTCCAAGTCCTGTCCAGCCTGGCCTTGAACACTGCCAGGGTTGGGGCAGCCACAGCTTCTCTGGGCAACCTGTGCCGGCACCTCAGCACCCTCACAGGGAAGAACTTCTGCCTAAGATCTCATCTAAATCTCACTTCTGCTTTTGCAAGCGAGCAAGCAGCTTTTAATAAAGGCAGCTAAATGTGCATCCAGGCATCTTAGCACCTCTCACAAAAAGTACCTGCTGCAACTCTCAAACTTTCATATTCTCATGAGTGAGGGATAACTTTTGAGCATCCTTCACAGGGAGGTACCAGATCGCTCTATGAAACCCAGTTTCCCTCCTGAACACTTCACCCCAGCAAGATCTGCAGAGCCCATGCTGCCTTCACCCCCACCAGAAGCCCCCTGGTATGCAGCCATCCCCATAGTCCTGCTTGGGTTAAAACTGCTTTGGAGGAAGGAAGTGGCTCCAAACCTCTGGCGGAGGAGGCTGGGGGAGTTTCTGCAGTCAGAGCAGAGAAAATATTTCCAGGGCTTGAAAAACAACTCAAACTAATTAGAGATAAAATGCTATCCAAAGGTTTTCCTCACAGCTTAAGAGGTTCTTTTCTCTCCCACCAGTCAGGGTGTTTATGGAAACAAAAACTTGCTGATCCACAGTATGGATTGACACAGGCCCTATATGCAAACTAAAGACCAAACTTTGGACCAGAGCCTTTAAAAGTAAACAGCCACCTCCAACAAAAAACTCTCCCGGAGGGCGGCACAGCCCCTCTGCTCCCACAGACAAGCTCATCCCCCAGCAGGACACAACTATCATTGCCTCACGCTCCCTCCTGTTTATTCCTCTTTGGAAAGCAGATTGAAATGCTGCTTTTCTATCCCTTCCCCTCCCTTCTCTCCCCCCAACTATTCAGCCTTAAGCCACGGGCATGCCTCAGTTCCCACATCTGGCCAGGACCAGGGGAGGCAGGAACATGTTTTGTTTTCCCTTGTTAACGACGGGAAGGCCTTAATTTTTGCAGAGCACTATGGAGGGGACCAGGGAGGGGAAAGTATATTTAGCAGGAAGCCTGGAAATAGCAGCTCATTCGTCAGCCGCCTTCGTTTGACAGTGTCACAACCCAGGGTTTGGGAGACCGTGACTCACCACCCGGCCCTGCTCATGGGGAAAGCCCGGCAAGGGCATGGCATCTCTTAAAATACAATGGTTTATAACTGCATTACCGTTACCTCGTGCATAAGCATCAGGAGCTGCCTCCTGCTTGTGTGCCAGCCAGTTCTGGGCATAAAGGGGGATAAGACTGAGCCTCGGTTTCCCTATCTTACAGAGATTATAGCAGCAGTCCCCATCTAATACAGGACCCCCCAGAACAACGAGGTCTCCCCCAAATTCAACCTGCAAGGAGGCTGATCAACCCAACAGCGCACACAGGAGCCATCCCAGACAGCACACAGGTCATCAGGCACCTGCAGGTTAAACCCAGCCTGGCCTTGGCTTCATTTTTCTGCAAAGAAGGGTGGAAAGAGATACACAAAGTGATTTCTGCTCAAGGACAAAAAGCACCTGTTCCACGTTTCTATATGCAGTCACTTAAAATGGGGTTTGACCAAAAAAATAAAGGGGAGATTTTTTGTTCATAGAATCACAGAATCAAGTAGGTTGGAAAAGACCTTTAAAGATCATCAAGTCCAGTCCCCAGGACTGCCAAGCCCACCACTAAACCATATCACTGAGGGCCTCATCTACGTGGTTGTTAAAACACTTTCAGGGATGGTGATTCCACCACTGCCCTGGGCAGCCTGTTCCAATGCCTGAGCATTCTCTCTGTGAAGAAATTTTTCTTAATATCCAGTCTAAGCCTCATTTTTCCTAATATCCAGTTTCTGGGCACCAGCTCACTCATGGATGGAGCAGTCACACACGTACAACAAAATCGCTCCCTGGCACCATACAAATGTACACCAGGCATGTTTTCATATCCTGGAGACTAAGGGCTGGCTGGGAAAGCAGAAAACTCCACAGTGCCCAGCTCAGGACCACTCTTTTGGGGAGGATCCCCTCCAGGCCCTGGGCCTTCCTCCATGAGCACTGCTGTGATCATCTAAAATGTGCACAATACTCAAATGATAAAGTCCAACACACCTGTAACACCAGCAAGCAGCCTCCTGCCACACTCTGTGGCCCCAAATCACCTCCCTGGAGCTGGGATGGCACTAGTGGCACAGCCAGCAGTGAAGCCAAACATCAAGTGAGATGCAAAAGGCATCTCCATCACAACTGGTACCCACTCCCCAGTGCAGAGGAGTGATTCTATGATTTGATTACACGGGTGAAGCTGCTGATCCATTTGGATGGGGTGCCCAGGAGGATGCTCAAGGGGTACCTCAGGCTGTGCTTGGAGAGGAGGAGACCACAGCAGCCCTTGAGCATCACCGTGAGCAGGGTGCTGGAGCAAGCAAGCCCTCAGCTCCCAGTGGCTGTCTGAGAAAAGACTGAAAGCCTCCCCAGAGAAACCTCCCCTGCAGGAAACGGCCTATTGTGAGCAGGATTTGGCTGTTTCCGCCTCCTGAGCCTGGCTGTGGCCACCAGCATCAGGGAAGGCGGGAGCCTGGCTGTGAGGTGGAAAGCAGGACAGGAGGAGGAGAAGGGACAGTGACATGTCCTCCCCATCATCACAGAGGAGCACTGAAAAGGCGCTGAAAGGCAGAAATACCCAAGCTGCCACCAAAACTCACTGAGGAGATGGTACAAATGGGCATCGATAGTTTGGAGGGTTGGGAAGAGCAGAGCCTAGTTTCTCCTCCAGGAGAAAAGTAAAAGGAATCAAACAGAATAACCTGCAAGGACCAAAGGCGTTGTCCCAAACCCCGCACCAAGGGGAAGATGAGGGATGATGCTGCTGGGCAGGGATGCAGCCGGGCGGTGCAGAAGGAGGATGCCAAAAGCTACCCGTGTCTCCGAGGTCTGCTGGGAGAGCAGAGGCACCAGCAGGAAACTGCTGCCTCTCAGCAACTGGGAGAGATTTAATTAAACGACATTTTAAACTCCAGAAAGACCACAAAATCCTCCCTGCTGACACCTCCATGGGAGTGTTCATCACACTGTGCTTCAACACCATCCTCAGAGCATCACATCAACCCAAAGCCTTTGCAGCAGCAAGCCTGGGTACCAGCTCTCTGGGACGGGGTTCCTGGTGTGAAACCACAGGCACCACCACCCCGAAACAACCAGCTGCAGGGAGAAACCCTGACAGAGATGCAACCTCAGCGACTTTTGGGGCTTTTTTAAGTACAACTATGAAACTTGCAGCCCAACTTTGCATATGGGTTTGGAATACAGCTGGCCCTCTGCGTTAGTTGTGAAACCCCTCCGACCCTCTGCACAAGCACATCGAAAGGCGTTTGTGTGCTGGAAGCAACTCGCTCATTCAATGCATTCGCAGAGAAAGAAAAGGGGGAGGTGGGATCAGAAAGAAGGGGGCTGCCACCGGGAGGGTATTAAGGAAATGGATTTCCTCCTCCTGCGATTTGCTGCAGAAGGAGCCTTTCCTCCTCCGCCAGGCCCCCCGGCCACCCCTTTCCCGTCCGGATCTGCTTTGAAACGTGGCACTGCGCTGAAGGGGAGGGTTTGTGCGGGGGGAAGCGGGGGGGTCCGATGCGGCCGAGCTGCTGACCGCGGCTCGCAGCCGCCCGAGGTGCCTCCACGCAGGGTGCCCCGAGAAGAGCGAAGCTGCTCGGCGGTGGCCTCCAGCCTTCCCCTGTCTCCTCCCCGAAAGAGGAGAGGAAAAAGCTAGCTGGGAGGGAGGGAGACTAGCAGGGGGAGAGCAGCATTCCCAGCATGGCTCCGCACGGCGCTGAGGCGGCAGCGGGGCAACGGCCTTCCCGGGGGGCTCCGGCCGCCCCGGTCAGGAGAAGGTTTCCTATAGAAGAGGCAGGGATGCCTTCTCACGGCCCATGGCCGGGACGGGGAAAGGCTGGGGAATCACTGGAGTCTGCCCGAGGCCCAGGAGCCCCTGGTGCTTGTCCCAAGGCGTGGGGTCAGCAGGCTGCAGGGAGAACACCTGGAAAAGGGCTGATGTTATGGAAATAAAAGCGGGAAAATACTCTCTCAATTTCCAATAGCTGGGAACGCTAGTGAGGGCTTGGCTTCTGCCGGCATGTGGCCGGGCAGCCGATGTACCCCTCAGTGTAGGGGAAGAGGTGTAGGGCAGGGACCATCCCCAGCAGCAGTGGATTCATGGGATAAGGATGGGATAAGGGGGTTCACCATCCCCTTCTGCAGCCAGCGACCCCAGGCTGGGCTGGGGTGGCAGAAGGATGCACCACCACCCAAAAGCCAGCCCCAGGTTGTGTCCCCGCAGAGATTTTGGGGGACACACACCTCTCTGATGGTGGGAGAGAGATGTGGAATGAATGGGGCGGCACTCTGCACCCCCAGACGGAAGGATCCTGCACCCCTGCGCCCCCTCCGCAAGCGGGATGGGGTCACGTCGCCGGGGTGAGGTGTCCTGGACACCCCCTGAGGGTGAAAGCACCACGGGTGCAGGGCCACCCGGGGGGCACACCGCGCTCCCCGTCCACACCAGGGGCACCCATGGGTGCGGGAACACACAGGGCCGGTCCCGCGAGGGGTCAACCGGGGGGGGGGATGCGGGGTAAAGGCGCGGGGGGGGGGGGGGGTGTCTCACCTCGAACATGAGGGCGATGAGGACGCTGAGCACCAGGCAGAAGCCGATGTCGGCGTGGTTGTGGATGAGGAACTCCTGGCTGAAGAGCGGGTGGCTCTTGGCGCGCCGGCGGAAGGCCATGGCCGCGCAGCCGGGGTGCGGAGCGCAGCGGGATCCGCGCCCGCCGCCGCGCAGCGCCGTAAAACTTCCCCGGGCCCCGCGCAACTTCGCGGAGCGCCGCGACGGCCCCGCGCAGGCGCCGCCCGCCCCGCCTGAGCCCTCCCCGCCGCCCGCCCCGCACCCGGCCCGGCCCGGCCCCCGGCTCCCGTCGGCGCTCAGCCGCGACTGCACCCACCTATTGTGCACATCTGGGCGCCTACCCACGCCTACACCCACCTACTGGGCATGGCTGGAGGCCCATCCGTGTTTGCACCCATCTGTGACCCATGTCTGGGTGCTCACTCACATCCGCACCCACCTACCATGTACATCCAGACATGCGCCCGCAGCTGTACCCACCTACCATGCACATCTGGATGCCCACCTGTGTCTACACCCATCTACCATGCATTGGATGCCCATCTGTATATGCACCCACCTAATGTACGCATCTGGGTATCCCCACATGTCTGCACCCACCTACTGTGCACGTCCGGACAGCTACCCACACCTGTACCTGACTCTCCATGCACACCCAGCCACAACTGCACTTGTTACCAGCTATGGCCCAGCACCCACCTCCCCGAGCCCATCGTGACACCCTCCATACACCCCCAAGCCCACAGCACCCCAAACCCTTCTCATTAACCAGGGAGAGGACAGAGGCATGGAGCACCCTCGCCATCCCATCACGCTCCCTTTCCAAACCCACATCCCAGCTGGGCTGAGTTGCAGTGACCACCAGGCACTCCACAGCGCGGACAGACTGATGACCTAGGCAAGTCACAGGGCAGAGCAGTGGCATGTTCATTGAAGCCAGGTCCTTAAGAAAGCCTCCCCAAATCTCCTCAGGGAGCCTGATGGACATTAAGGGGACTTTGGCTCGAAAACAGCAAGGCACAAACAGGGCTTTTCTTTTAAAGACCTCCCTTCAAGCAAAACAAGCACCAGATCTTTTCACTTGCAGGATCTGGCCTGGCTCTTCCAGCATCCCTGGATCCCATGGATCCCATGCCATGGCCTTTGGGGAGGATACCAGGAGGTAAGGAATGTTGCTCCAGTGTGTTTGAGGGAGCTGAGCCACCTCAAACTTGGCGCTGAGAGCACAAGTGTTTTCCTCCAGCCAAGGCCGGCACAGGAACCACGGTCGTTGGGTTCTCATTAAGCATTGGTTGGTTTTAGGCAAATCCTGATCAGCCAAGTTTACCCTTCTCTTCCCTGGCACTGTTTTGCCTTAGAGTGATGGGCATGGAGATGTAGCCCAAGCCCAGGAATTACAAAAACACCAAAAATGGGATTTGCATCAAACCCAAACTGCTTAATGAGGAGGAAAACTTTCCAAAGTTTCAGCTTGGAAAAAACGAGCAAATAACAACCCCAGGGCACACACTTCTATTTGCTGTCAGATCCAAGGATTGCATTTCAGTACTTTTGGAAGTGAAAAGATGTTTTTCCTGGTAAGTCTTTCCTGGGTTAGTTCAGAGGTGTTGCATCATTTTGGAGAGAGAATGTCAGCAAAACCGACCCCAAAACCTGGCACCTGAGGGCTCAGGCACTGGGCTGCAGAGGGAGGCAGAATGCGCTGCTGGAAGGCAAGATCCCATGAAAGTACCTTTCCAACCCACTTTATTTTATGTTATCTTGGAAGAGGGACAAGAGTGACCCGTTAAACACAACAAGCATAGGGGACAGTGCCAATGGGCTGGACAGCCACATCCCCAAGCCCAGGTGCTGGCCTGGGTATTGTTTAAGAGGGATGTAGCCTCTGTTCCTTCCTGTTTGCTCCTGTTTGCAGATCACCAGTGAGTGGCACAGCCAGTTCTGCTCTGCAGCCCATGGGTCACTCCCTGCATTGTCAGAATTCACCACTGATTCCTGCTCTCCGCTCCCTTGCTGCCCTTTCACAGCCCATGAGAGGTCCTCTCATCAGTGGCGCTGAGCTCCCCTGGGCTGGGGCATGGTGCTCCTCCTCTCTGAAGTGCTGGAGAGCGTTCCTTTGGAAAGCAAAGTGAACAGAAGAGGTTCATAGGAGGCAAATGAGCAGAAAGTTTCTATTCCAGAGCAGGCAGGAGCACAGCAGAATCAGTGGGGTGGAGGCTGCAGCCCAGAAACGAACCGTGTCCTGGACTGCATCACCAGCAGTGTGACCAGCAGGTCGAGGGAGGGGATTCTCCCCCTCTGCTCTGGTGAGGTCCTCCCCTGCAGTCCTGTGTCCATCTCTGGGGCCCCAGCATAAGTAGGATGTGGAGCTGTTGGAGGGAGTTCAGAGGAGGTCACGAAATTGCTCCAAGGGCTGGAGTAGCTCTGCTATGGAGACTGGCTGAGAGAGCTGGGCTTGTTCAGCCTGGAGAAGGGAAGGCTCCAGGGAGACCTTAGAGCAGCTTCCAGTGCCTAAAGGGGCTGACAAGAAAACTGGAGAGGGGCTTTTGACAAGGGCCTGTAGGGACAGGACAAGGGGGATGGCTTTAACCTGACAGAGGGGAGATTGGGATGAGATCTAACCTGTGAGGCCCTGGCACAGGTTGCCCAGAGAAGCTGTGACTGCCCCATCCCTGGGGGGCAGGTTGGACAGGGCTTGAAGCAACCTGCTCTAGTGGAAGGTGTCTGTGCCTGAGGCAGGGACTTGGAAGCAGATGAGCTTTAAGGTCCCTTCCAACCCAAACCAGTCTGTGATATCCTCCCTTATGTGAGTGGCTGAAGCCCCCATGTTACTGATGAGCTGCATCCCCAAAGGCTATGCAGATCTTAAGGTCTATCTCAGGATGACACACCCCATCCAAAGAGAGCTTCATGGGAAATGCTGCGGAAGGAGCAGAGGGACTGTCAGTGTCTGCTCAAGCATTTGGGACACCTGGAGGAACCAAATCCTTTTCTTATGCAGCTTCACACCCTGGGTTCCGACTGGCCCAGGACACCTTGCTCCACAAAGAGCAGTGTGTGTGGGACCTCTGTGCCCACAGGTTGATGTGAAGACAAAGAGCGTGGCAGTGACCATGTCACCCACTTGGGCATATGTGCAGAGCTCCATGGGTACACTGCCAAGCATCAGGACTCAGCACCGTGGTGGTGACAGCCAGAGCCAGTCCTACCAAACCAGCAGGTTCCCATGCTGCATCCAGTGCTAAGGTTTCCAAATTTTCCCCATAGCCTGATGGTGCCTAGGGTGGTAAAAGGAGACTCTCACAGCCATCATCACATTCCCCACTGTGCACCTCGGATACCGGCAGCATCCCAGCCCTCCCCATTTTGCTCATACCCCACAGCAGCATCAGTCCTGCACATCCCTCTCCTCTGAGCACTGGATGGGCAAGCAGCCTCTAGGATCAAGGCTTCTGCTTTTGTGGGCTTGAGCAGCATCTCCCTCTGGTGGCTAAGGAGCAAGGAGCCATAGGGAGAAATGCCTTCCCATGTGGGAGATCCCAGGTCCCTTCTTCATCCTCCTGCTGAAAATCCTGACAATTTGGGATTGCAGGAGAAAAGCGTGGGGAAGAGAGAAAGGAAGGGATGTGAAGTGCTGTGTGCATGCCTGTCTGGGTTCTTTCTTTGCATACTTTCAGCTGGAGAGAGGGAAGACCCTTGCTCAATCAAACAGCTTGTGGTGGGTAGAACTAGAATGGGTAAAAAATCTAAGAAAGCAGGAAAATGGAGTTGCAAAGGAGAGGGGATGTCACATCCAGCCAGGAAGCTGTGCAGCGGTTCGCGTGCAAAGCAGCAGGACACCAAGGTTGAACGTCCCCTACAGCAAGGTCCAGAGGACCTCTCCATGCTTATGTGCACTCCCAACATGAGACACAGACACAGCAAAAACTGGTTTGTTTTTAAAGCATCATTATGTATTATCTAAAGTAAAAAACTAAACTAGATAAGAATCTCCATAATGCTATGGCAGCTCTGCTGCCTTGTGTGTGATGTGCATAGTGAGGAGGACTCTGGACCAGCAAAGCACAGCCACAGCATGGCAGTGCTGGGATCCAGGTGGAGGCATGGAGCTTTTGTCATGTTGGAAAGCAGCTTCACTCTGAAACTGGCACCAGCTGGGTTGCAAGTGCCCAGATGAGCTTGAAGGCTGGGTCAGTCTGGAGCTGTGACTGTTACATGGAAGCTCATTTTAATAATTCCTTGCATGCCTGTCCTTCCTGCTGCCTCGTCTGCCCTGGGGCACCACCAGTGTCCTGCCCACAGCAGGACAACAGCTGGAAGACGCAGCCAGATGTGTACACGTGAGCTTGGTGGTGAAGCAGCTGACCAGACCTATACAACATGTCAAGCCATGCCCTGGGCACAAACCCTTGTCCAGCCAGCCCAGCTGGAAGCATGAGCTATTTCTGAGACCCCAGTTGAGGTCTTTAGTTCCTGATATAAATAAGGAATATATCAGACTTTGGTTCCTGATATAAATAAACCCTGCCTGCAATGGGGATTTTACAGGAGCAGGAGCACATAGATGTGTTTTGAGATTTGGCTTGAGGCTAAAGTTAAGAGGGAGCATCCAGACAAAGCTGGATTATCTGCAGCAAGGAAGAAGCTGCAGAAAAAGGCCACTTGAGGAAGCAGGGTGGTGGCAGGCGAGCAAAGCAGGACATGGCTTTTGTCTACAGTTCAGGCTCCCGAGGCTGTGGTCTGTAGCATGAAGAGGGTCTGCCATCCTATTTGGCTCCAGCAAATGGAGTTGGTAAAGCTCACAAGGTGAACATGATGAGGGAAAATTAAATCAAGCACTGCTGAGCCTTACTTTAGGGCCTATTCTGCCCCTAAGAAATGGAATCTGAGAGTAAAAGTCAATTTTTCTGCTTTAGACACTTATTTGGCCTGAGAAGACTCCTGTTTTGGCCAGCATTGAAGGCTCTGGAGGCAGCAACCAGATCTCCACACTGGGATAGGCCAGCAGCTTGTATAGGCACTTGTTAAAGGACATGCTTCAAGGCACTGCTACAAATATATCAAAGGCATCATGCTCTAGCTGCCTAGCAGTGTACATAAGTAAGTTTAATAAATACCTAAACCTGGACTTTTAAGGTTTTTCAGGACCTTTGAATCTCCAAAACTGCAAGTAGAAGATGCACCAGGAGGTAAGGTGATGTCCTAGTGATGGAGCACCCCATCTGCCCAGCAGCACCAGGGGCACCATGGGGACAGTCTTCATGGCCAGCATTAACATACCACAGCCTCCTGCTGTACCCTATCACCGTGGCAGTCACCCCAGTGCTGACCCAAGGTGACAATGCATGGAGTTTACAAGGTCAATCCAGCAACCCAGACTGGTTCATCCCCTCTCCCATCTCCTCCAGCCCTCACTGTGGGCACCCAGGGTCAGCCTTGGGGGTGGAAGTGAAGCGTGGCCTCAGCTTGCTCTTCGCAACAGTCCCCCGTGTGCCACAATGGGTGCCCCAAAGGCAATGACACTCTTTGGGACTGATCCACCACCCCACAGCCACCTGTGCTGCTGAGGGTAGAGCTGTGCTGCAGATGCTTGTGGGCACAAGTGCCCAGTATTGGGCTGATGGTCACCATCTCAAGGGATAAATCCTCTCCATGTCCTCCTTCTCCCAGGCACCCTGGAGGAGGCTGGGCTTTGCTGTCCCCTTGCACCAGGGCCATGCTTGTAGCTGGGACTGTCCCCTCACTGGGTGATGTGATGCCTCCTGCACTTGCACTGTAATACACAGAAGAGCCCTTGGTCAGATGCAGGGAGAAGATGCTGGGAAAGGATATGGCTGGGGGAAAACCAGGCTCCTGCCCTGCTCCATCCTCCTGTGCTGTTCTCGCAGTGCTGGTGGTGGGTTTGCTGCCACCTCCATTCCCCACTGCCTGTGATTTCCCATCACTCAGATCCCATTCAACACCCGCAGGACCGATTTCCCTTGTGGGGAGGGAAAGGTTTGCTTCAGGCTCAACACTGGCAGGTTTCCCCATCATCCATGTGCCAGGATAAACCTCTCCCATGACACCGTCTCCAAAAGCTGTATTGATCATGGATGTATCTCCTGTCTTCAAGGCCAGCTTTACCAGCAGCCAGTGGTGATGGTTTGTCCAGCTGTCCTCCAAACACCCTCTGACTTGCAGGAGCGATGAGCCGTTCCCATTCGGGGGATCTGCCCTGGTCCTTGTCTCTCCCAAGGACTCTCCATCTCCAGAAATTCCCAAGCTCTGCCCATCCTGGGAGCTGTCTCCAGCAACCTCCTCATCACTGGCAGCTGCAGCACTGCGGGTTTTCTCCAGGAAGCCCTGGCAGATCTCTGCGGACTTGGGATGGAGCAGGCTGTAATACACCACCAGGGCTGCGGCACCTGAAAAGAGAAGAAGGGTGTCAAGGGAGGAGTTTCAGCAACGTTTCATTGGGGTGCCACCTCCAGATCCCTTTCCAGAGACGCTGCCAGGCATCAGATGTCCAAACACACATCTTTCATGCTTTTATAGGGATGCAAGTGTCCCACAGGAGCAGCTCTCCGGAAAGGGAGCGCTGAGCATGCTCTCATTGCAGTTTCTCCTCGGTTTCATACAAGACTGAATTTATCTGGATTGATTTGCAGACCAATGGGTGCACAGTGAGGTAGCCACTGAGCACCAGTGGGCAGGGCAAAGGGCAGAGAGGAGATGTGTGGTGCAGGAATCCTCCCATCTCACAGCATCCCCATCCTCTAGCCATTAAATGAGACACCAGCAGGTTTTTAAGACACTTTCTTATTACTATCCTATTTCTATCCCAAAATCACTCAAGGCCAAAGAAATTGCTCTTTTTCCAGCCTGAAGTTGCCCTTTCTGGGACAGCATTGGTGTGCACATAGCCAGTCTGGGGAGACGCACAAAGCCCATCCTGTAGGTATTACAGCACCCCTCTTCTCCCATCCCAGTGGAAAACATGAGTGCTGATGGGTTGTTTGCAAGCATCATACAACCTCTCCCCTCCTTCAGCTGAGTTGTGCATTAAAGCTCTAGGGAATTAAATGAGCCAGCTGGCCGCAGCTGCTGCCTGCTTTATGGGCAGAGCATGGAGTAAGGCAGAGTATGGGCAGGGTATGGAGCACCTCCTCCATCATACCAAAAAGTCCTCCCCATGAGCACAAGAAACATTTCCATTTACACAAGTGGCCCCGGTCTTTGAAAGGAAAGAGGGTGGGAGAAAGCTGCTGTTGTTCTGCATGGCCCTACATCAGTGTGTTTCCAAAACATACCCAGTGATTGATGGCTCGTCAGTCACAAGCCACCTTCATAAGTCATCAGTATATGCTCAAATGAGAACCTTTCCCTATAGCAATCCCGAGTGTTGTACCACTGCCTGCACTGATCCCCAAGCACCAAGAACCCAGAAAGCAGCGATGTGCTTCAAGATTGCACATACTGTATTTGAAAGTGGTACCTGGGCCATTTGGTGACATTTCAATCCTTTCTGCAAGTTTCCCTTTTCAGGGATGGGCTTTTAGAACTAAACTCAGGGTAGATTTATTATCAAGTATGTTCAGACACTTAAGCTGGAAGAAATAAATACTCTGATACAGCTAAAATAACCCATGATGCTCATTTACTCAAGCTACTCTTGAAACATGAAATCAGGCTCTAAACCCCACCAGATCTTACCTATTACAGACCCTGACATGACAGCTCCAGTCACGCACAGGCTGTTCCTCAGCTCTGCCTGCAGGAATCGAGTGGTCAACAGCAGCAGGAGGGTGTTTTCCATCAGCATTACCTGCAGAGGGAAGAGAGCTGTCATTTCATTCCTTTTGACAGCTTTAGACATGCTTCTGATGACAGAAAACACCCAGTTTCTAGATTTTACTGATTTATTTTGCACCTAACTTGTCACTTTAAGCATAAGGGTTACTGGACTGAACTTCCTGTGAGGTCTGGACCTTCTTTTTTACCACAAAAAGTAACTCTGGCAGAGCAGCACAGCCACTCAGGTGTTAGTAAGACACTGTGTGGCTGCTAAGAAAACAAAGCCAGAGCAGAAGGTACATCCACCATGCTCTGTGTGGTCGTCAAGGTGGAAGTACCAGTAAATGCTGAGGTTTTATCAAGTGGTGATGTGGGAGATGAGAAAGGAGAGTCTGAAGCTATTGCTTCTCCCCAGCAACTATGTCCATGTGGAATACCAAATATCCCGGGTACTTACTGCATAAAACACACCCACCCTGTGCTTGGAGGGGCCAGGCCGGACATTAATGTAGCAGAATATGTACACGGCTCCCACCAGGCAATTGAACAACCCCCGGCGGCAGGACTGGGCCACGATGTCTGTCTGCTGGGCCACCAGCCAGATGGACACCAGCAATCAGTGGACACCTGCGAGGGGAAAGGATGGAAAGGGAAAAGCCATTCCTGGGGGATGCTGCAAGGTGCTCCGGGACCAGGGGCACCGCTGTGGCTGACAGCGGGATGGGGCATGGGGAAGACGGTCACAGGTCTTACCGGCCACATCAAAAACCCCAAAGGAATAGAGCCTGGCAAAGAGCACCAGGGCCAGGACCCTGGTCCCCAGCATCCCTGTCCTCCAGAGCAGCAGGCAGAGGATGGCTGCGGCCGGTGGGCAGAGGTGACCAGGTTTGAGCAGGCAGGTGAAACGGCTGTAGGAGACCAAAGCCCAGGAGAGAGGGAGCAGGGACAGCCCTGCGCTGACACCTGCATGGGGACAGGGGCAGTCAGGCGCCCTGAGGGGTGTCCAGCTGTGTTGTAGGACTGTATCTCAATGTTATGGAGCTGCTGGTAGCACCCTGACACAAGCCAGACACACATCTGTCCTGCCCATTGGGGGATTTCAACCAGTTCCTGCTGAATCTGGTCTCCTTTGCATGCTTTGCATCTGCCTGCTTAAATCCTCTGACCGCTCTCTCCCACGGGCAGAGCCCTGCAGCAGCACAGCATGTCCATCTCCAGTCACGGCAATAGGACCAGAGACTGACGCCATCTTTGTGGACACTGTGACTCTACTCCCCAGACTTCTCCCTTTGCACACCTGAAAGTTCAGCTTGTCTATAGAGCAGCCCTAAACCCCTACATGCTCAGCACTGCACTGTGATTAGGGCTGGACCACCAACAGGGACATGTGTTGGGTTCAATCCCAGCCAATGCACTGTCATGCCATGGAGACCCCCTGTGAGGGTGACTGACTGTACTGGCCGGGTTCAGTTGCAGCAATCTTTAAGTCACATTTGTCCCAGCTTGCTTTCCACTGGGGGCTCTCAGTCCCTTCACAGTGTTCCTCTGGATGGAGCCCTGCACTATGCCAGGTGGACACACACATCCCTTACCCAAATGCAATTCCCCTCTGTAACTCACAGCATCCTCCTGGAAACTCCCCACTCACCAGGGATGAAGCCCGCTGGGTCGACTGCCACAACAATGTATATGCCTGCAGCAGGAGGTGAGGCAGGGTCTGCAGCAGGGCTTCCAGGAGCTGCAGCACACACACATCCCCGTGCTGCATCAGCACCTCCCCAGCACCAGCACTGCCGCCTGTCTTTGTCACCATCCACGGAACATCCCAGTACCTGCAAGAGTACCTGTGATGAGATGTCCACCCTGTTTTGGGACTGCACCAGGGTTAGGGGAGGCTTGAAGGGGAGCATCACTCACCGCTTCCAGAGGCCCAGCTGCAGGAGGTGGAGCACCAGGAGGCAGCAGCCGGGCGGGCGGCCATCCGCCCTGAACCAGAGGATGCTGAGGAGCTGAGCCACGTAGCCGGGCACCACGCAGGCGATCGTCAGACCGAACCAGCCCAGCTGCCCGCGGACAAGGTAGTGGATGATGGCACAGAGCCCTGGATAACATCCAACCGGCACCACTGAGGGATGCCACAGCCACGCATGCCCCACAACTGCATAGTGCTAACCATAACCCGACCCAAACTCATCTCCCAGCCGGCGAAGGGGTTCGCAGCCCTTGTCACTGCTTATCTGGGGCGGCTGGCTCCTGATGGCTTGTCAGCTACGGCACAGGCATCACCCCCGAGGGGCTCGGCCCAAGGGAGGGCTCTGACGAAAAGCGCTTGGAGACGGGCTCATGAGACTAATTAATTAATTAAAATAATAATAATAAACCCACTAATTATTTCCAGTTAAAAGCAGACAATGGCTGGGGTCTGCACGGATGCAGACACCCTGCGCTCGGGGCGATGCAGCCCGAGAGACCCCAGCGGAGAACCGCGCACCCCCATCCGCGTGTGCGCAGCCTCGCGCAGCCCTTCGCCCCCCCCCCCCCCGCGCATCCTGCGCGCTCACTCACGCGCGCCGCCGCCAGCTGCGCCAAGCAGAGCCCCGAGAAGGCCCCGCGCATTCCGCGCGCCCCTTCCGCGGCAGAGGAGGAGGAAGGAGTCGCCGGGACAGGTCCCTCCCCTCCCGCCCGCCCCGGCCCGGCCCGGCCCCGCTGCACCTCCTGCTGGGCGATGGGTGGGGGCTTACGGCCAGACCCAGGGCTCCGCCGTGGCTGTGCCTTGCGGTGCGCTTGCACAAGCCCGCCCCGGTGCCTCCGTGCCCGAGTGATGGGCGCTCGCCGCCGGGCTGAGCACCAGGCGGCATCGGACGGGATGCGCAGGGAGCCGTGAATTCATTCCGCTGGTTATTTTCCCCTTCAGCCAAGAGATGAAACCTTCGTGACGTGTGATCCCGACTTGAGCGGCTGCAGTTGCCCTTGCGTGTGCAGAGAGGTCTCCTGTCTGCTTTTTTCCCCCGCCTTTGGCATTGCAGAGTCCATGTCTTTTAGCAAGCAAACCCACAGCAATTCGCTCCAGGAAAGGTCCTGAAGGGGTTTTTAATTAGAACCATGGAATAGCAGAATGGTTTGGGTTAGAAGGGACCTTAAGCTCATCCAGTTCCAAGCCCTGCCATAGGCGGGGACACCTTCCACTAGACCAGGTTGCTCCAAGCCCCATCCATCCTGGCCTTGAACGTTGAATTAGGTCCCAATATCATGTGAGGTTTTGTCACTGCTTTTGCAAAATCGTGCAGGACTCTCCCAAAGCTTTGTCCATCAGCCGGGCTGTAGGGATGTACATGTGCTTGGTGGCTTCCACACATTTACTGTTGGTTTGTGGGAAGTTTATCAAGTTCTTTGCAAACCTTGGAGCAAAGCCTGGACTCCACTGCTTGACAGAAGTGACATTTCTCACCCATTCAGCTGAGTCCTGGAGCAGAGACAGTTTGAAATATGAAAGCTCAGTTTCTCTATAGGTTCCCAGTACATTGCTACAGATATTGTCTACCTGGACTTCTGTAAAGCCTTTGACACAGTCCCTCACAACATCCTTCCCTCTCCTGCAGTTAGGGAGCTCAGACTTGTTTGGCCCAGCAACATGGATTAAGAATCTCATCAGACATCTGTGCTGCTTTTGGTGTAGCAGCTCCCGCAGGCACAGCTAGTCCTGCAAATGCACTGCAGCTGACTTTGCATGGCACATTGCCACTGCCAAAGAAATATATCATTAATAATCATCAAGCTCCCCAAGCCCAAAGGTGTATTTGAACCTTAATCACTCCTTCCAACTAGTGATTTGAAAGTCCTTTGTGCTCGTGAACTGAGGCTTGCACCACCCTCCGAGGTAGCCAAGCAGACAGAAGGTACCTGCTGTTATAATTAAGCCACGTTCTTCCATCTAAGATTAATTTTAACACTTTCAGTTCAGGAATAAGGAATAATAACAGCAAAAAGCTGTTTGATGGTATGCCAAGAAGTTGCAGTGACTCTGTCATGGGGCTGGCTTTCAGGATTAATAAGTCAGACTCCTTGGTGGTTGTATAATCATTGCAATTAGGTGGTTGTATAATCATTGCACCCCAGAAGAAACTGGGTGCCAAATGGGGAAGTGTCAGCAAGATCATTGCTTCCTGGTTACCCACAGCCAGGAGAAAGAGAAAGGTCTTGGGAGTTGTGCTCTGACATCCTAAATTGTTTATCCCCTTTGATAATAAATGCGGGCATCATTAGCAAAATAGTATCCAAAATCATTCTTAATTGTGACCAGCAACTGGGGGACAGTTGATCCTTTGGTGTAGAGCATGACTGCTGACCACCACATTCCAGAAATGTGAATAGCTATGTCATGGCTATCATGGGGCAGGCATTGAAAAATCTCTTCTTCACAGATCCCAGGAACATTCAGTCCATAGGAAAGATGGACAATGTAAGAGTCAGGGATATACTGACAGTATTTATATTTATGATATATATTCATGATATATATATGTGTGTATACACACACACACATATACATATATATTGGAAATGCCTTCTTCATTTGATGGGGGTTCACAATCTGAGGCTTAGTGATGCCCAGCAAGACTGGGGAGCTGAATAACCCATGCTTCACTCATCCAGTGGATAGGAACAATGAGGAGCCTCAAAACAACCTGCACAACAGCGCACCCTTAAGCACTGCCCCGTGAATAGGACAGGAGGTAGTAAAGGCAAAGTGGGTCTTAGTTTGCCTACTAATGACATCACACAGACCCTGCTGGCCCTCGTGTGTTGACTTGTTTCAACCTGTGTGCACTTGTTTCAACTGTGTTTTAATACACACCATAGCTGTAAATACTTCACAACTTAGAGAATGATTTAAACAATAGTCCCACCCTGATGGACTCAAATAGCAGATAGTGGGTCACATCTTCTGCAGCTCTGCTCGAGGTTGTGTAGCAGAGCAATGCTGAGGGGTGATTGTGGATGGCATTAGGAGATGGCAGAGATCAAATCTTTTGTTGCAGTAAAAAGGTGATTCTCAGAACTACTATTCCTGGCACCCACAAGAAGAGCTGCCTTCCTGGCTTTGGTCCTGGTGGGGCAAAGGAACTAATTCAGAAGCTGTCTGTGAGAGCTGCCCTGTAAAAGTGACCACCATATTATTAGGCTTAACCATGCTGTGGGACCAAATACATTCAACATGTGAACCAAAAAGCAGCAGCGCAGAGGAGTGAGAAGCCTGAGGCAGTCTGAGAGCTGTTAAAAAAGCTGCGCTGGGAATCTCAGTGAAATATTTGCTTTGACTGGAAAAGAAAACAAAGAGTCCTAAGAAAAATCCCTGCAAGGCATGGAGGGCAAGTCAAGGGAGGCTCTCGCAGGGAAGAGCTCAGGGATGAACAAGCAGCTGGAAGAGGAGAACGGCAACTCCCATAAAACCAGCTCCCATAAAATGCTGCAGGTTGGATTCAAGTAAGAAAGAGGGCTAAAAAGGGAAGATCCCTTTGCAACAGGCAGCTGAACCAATAGTAGGAATGTCTGTAAATGCATGGAAAGCAGGAAGCCGTGGGGGAAGTCCTTGGTAAGAAAGGAGTAGGACACGTAGGGGTGGTATGCTGTACACTCTTCTGTCCATGGCGAAATAGTGAAGGCTATAATAAAAATCCAGTTGCTGAGCATGGGCTCAGCATTTCTGGATGTTGCTGGCACAGAAGGCTGTGGAGGTAGGCACCAGCAGGTCCAAAAGGGGTTAGACAAAGTCACGGACAGCAGGTTGTTATATGGGAATTGAAAGGACGGGCAAGGACCTCCCCTGCAACATCCCTGATTTTGCAATTATGGATGCTGGGGCAAAATGGGACACCTGGCCCATAGATAGTAGCCAGGATCACAAGCCCTCCCTGAACAGCAAGGAAAGCATGGAAAGAGAAGGCAAAGAGAAGCAGAGGAAGGCATGGAAAGGGGTTGCAAAGAAGGAAAAACAGCATCCAGAGTTCATGGGTTCAGCAGTAGCAGTCATGTTTTTCCTTTGTGGTAGCTGGTGCAGTGCTGTGTTTTGACTTCCAGCCTGGGAACAGTGTTGGTGAAGCAGATGTTTTCGGTTGTTGCTAAGTGATGTTTACCCTCACCTGCCAGGGAGGAGGAGAAGCCGGGAGGAAGCAGAGATGGGGTGCCTGACCCGGGCTAGCCAGGGAGGTATTCCATACCACAGCACGTCATGCCCAGGGGGGGTAACTGGGAGTTACCCGGAAGGACATGGGCTTCTGGGTGGGACTCGTTTTCTTGGCCGGTGGTATCGTATTCTCTTCCCTTGTTATTTTCTCTTATCATTGTTGTAGTTGATAGTAGCGGTGGTGATTTGTTGCTGGACTGTTCTTGTCTCAACCCGTAGGAGTTGCACGCTTTCGATCCTCCTCCCCATTCCTCTGGCAGTGGGGAAGGGGAGAGCCCCGGTGCGGGGGGAGACGGACACGGACCTCGATTGTTGTCAGCTCGGCACCACTCACTGGGAGAGTGAACAAGTTACCTGACTGCGTTTAAACCACGACAGTTCTTTTGGCGCCCAACGTGGGGCACGAGGGGTTGAGATAAGAACAGATCTGACTGGATTGATAGTCACTTGTCACAATGCTGATTTATTGGCTCTCAAGGTTGTTCCTCTTGATCTCACAGTTTCAGTATATCGTATCTTACGTCCATCCGGTATTTGCTGTATTAGTGTTTTTCAAGTGTGGGGCTTGGGCTAAGGTTTTTGTCTCATTGTACTTTATGGTAATGACTTGTAATACAATAGAATCATTGATCATGAAACTGATCTGGCTTATGTTCCCAGTGTGGTCACCACCTTTATACTTTGGGAGGTATATGATGGAGGTGCTTAGCAATTACACATCTTTTTTCTCCTTCTCAGGTGCTCAACCTGTGAAGGAGACATCCTTTTACCCTCCCAGTCGTCCCCCCAGACCATTTACATTTGAGAGTTTTGAATTTTTTGAATGGCCTTTTAATGCTGTTGAGACTTGTTTGCTGATGGTGATGGGAATCACCATGCTAACACGCATACAGAGTGTGTTTTGCCCACTACTGATTTCAAGAGTTAAGCAGATTCAGGTTTGGGTCTTGTCTGGGGTCAAACAACGATGTAGGAGGACCAAGAGATTTTCCCTGAGGCTGGACAGCCATGAGTGGCAGGGTGTGTGGGATAGTATGGGCAAGTATCTAGGTCAGTGGGCCCCTCCAGTACTTTGGAATTTCACTACCGAACAACTGCAAAATCCAGAAGAATTAGTAAAACACTTAAATGAGGTGTGTGGTCATTCTGGCCATACCAGAGATGGACAAATCATGGCAACATGCTGGAGGCTGAAATCAGCCTGACTGGGAGGGAATGGCAAAAGCACGCTATTGTGACTGGTCCAGAGGCTCCATGCATTCTCGGCATAGACTACCTCAAGAGAGGGTACTTCAAAGACCCAAAAGGGTACCGGTGGGCTTTTGGTATTGCTGCTTTGGAGACTGAGGAAATTGAGCAGCTGTCCACCTTGCCTGGTCTCTCAGAAGATCCCTCTGCTGTGGGGTTGCTGAAAGTTGAAGAACAACATGTG